TTTTTTACTTGTTATTATTCTGTTTTTCGTTGGGTGCATTATTTAATTAAAATAAAAAAAATTAATGCACTAGAAGTGTTAGTATAAAAAAGTAGGGTTAAGTTTCATCAACAGTCAACAGCAAATAAAAAAAGACCAATGTAAGTACTATATTTCTTGTTTTTCATGCATATTCTTTATTTGTTATTATAATTTAGATTTATTTCGATTTTTCTGGTGGTTACAATGTCAGTCAAATTGACCTACCTTGTATAGAGTTATGGTAGAGAAAATAACAGATAAAATATAAAGTTTTACTGAAAAAATGTTTAACACTTATTTAACAGTTTTCAGATGAAGAAAAGTATTTTCAATCTTAACACAAAAATCACTTTGCACTGAGAACAGTCAACACTTTGACTCCATATATTCACAGAGAAATGTCTAGTGAAAATTGTGATTTATTGTTTACAAAAAGACTTAATGCTTACTGAAAGCTTGTGAAATTTCTTGAAGATACACAGAATACATTAGAAGTTATAGTAGGGAAACTATAAAGGTCAATTTGGGTCACAAACTTGGCTGATTTGATTGAGCTCATATCAAAAGTGTTATCCAATACCCATGGTTAAAATACAAAATATACTTACTTATGGGCAAGGCTTACTAAATATTTTACACCTTGATAAGAACGCCGACTGTCATTGGTTTGGTTGGATCGAATAATATCTATAAAATTCATTAATTAAAAGTCAATTGTATATTTGCAACAAGTAACAGACTTTAATTACTATTCACAATAGAAAAACACAAGTAATTTTGCTACAATATAAACACAACATTAGCATATACTTGTTTCATAAAAATATAATAAAGAAAAGTTTTTTTAATATTATATATTTAATATCATTCTTTGTATTTTGGCATTATGTGCAGTGGATATGTTTGAAAGTACTGTAATCATTAACATTATTATTCACACATTAAAAACACACACTAATAATACAAAATACAGTTTACACTGTATTACATTTACAATAAAACATTTCTTTGCATTTAAAGTTCTGTGAACATATATACTAGTTATATCACATTAATCTTACTCATGCATATATGTTGATTTTGCCTAAAGCTATAATGCATGAAAATTACATAATTTCTTTACTTTTTTCATTTTCTTCATATAGAACACATCTATAAGAGAGTGAACTTTTATATGTTTTGTGTACATACCTATCATTCCATCAACATGCACACCTTTTGTATCCACCCAACCATCTATCACGTGCTCAATTCGTTTATACTGAAGAGAATCGTCTAACAACTGTAAATATTAACGAAAAAAAAACAGTATCTGAATATAAATTATTCAGTTCCTAAGGTGTAGTATCACTGCCTCATTTAAAATAACACAGCTATGATTTATTTTACATAAAGCTATACATAATAATGCTATATAAACTATAATCACTTATATATATATAATTACCATCAATATTGCAAAATTTTCACATATCACATACTGTATCCAGACACAAGTGTACTTATTTAATGGTAACAAAAATAATGTATTGTAGTTTTTAAAACATGAAAAATTAAACTCAAATAAGCTGGAAATATAAAAGTGAATAATATGAACATGCAAATTTCTCCAAAAATATTCCAATACCTGCAAGTTTTCATATTTAAATGTAAACCTACAAAAACGCCTTTTAAATATTTGGAAAAGAAAAGTTTTTTAAAATGTCCATAAAGTTTAAATCCGTAGATTCTGCTTATAACATTTCACAGAAATAAATAATCTAATAGGTATTCAGTTTGAACGATTATGCTCTAACAAATAAACAACCAAGAAAAAAGAAATACAGCTTTATTGATAATAATACACATTTGAGCAATTGTGTCTACTAAATTCATACAATCTTCAGATGCTGCTTTCTCAATCAACAGTTATAGTAGCTTTTATGGATAATCTTTAAAAATAATCTCAGCCTTGAGACACACAAACATTTTAACAATTAATTAATTTTTATTTTTTCTAATATTCAGTCAGATATATAAGAAAATATTTTAAAGGATATGCAATCTAAAACAACAGGTTTTGATAAGACAGTAATTGTTCGGCCCCCTACCAGCAACTCCAGTCAGATATATAATAAAATATTTTAAAGGATATGCAATTTAAAGCAACAGGTTTTGATAAGACAGTAATTGTTCGGCCCCCTACCAGCAACTCCAGCATATTCAGTCAGATATATAATAAAATATTTTAAAGGATATGCAATCTAAAACAACAGGTCTTAATAAGACAGTAATTGTTCGGCCCCTACCAGCAACTCCAGCATATTCAGTCAGATATATAATAAAATATTTTAAAGGATATGCAATCTAAAACAACAGGTTTTAATAAGACAGTAATTGTTCGGCCCCCTACCAGCAACTCCAGCATGAGATGAGAAAGGTTTTTCAACTCATTCGAAGGCACTGAGGAATACTGAGTCTACATAAAAAAAACACATTCAGTAACATATCTTATTACAATAAAACTCATCACAAAGTATGTTTTTAATTCATAAAATCACAATCCTCAGATTGATTATATTTAAAGTATAAAATTTTTATTAGTAAGTAAAAAAATTCCAAAATTTACATATGACCTACTTAATACAAGTCACAAACAACAGACGATATGAAAGTTAATATTACAAATAAAGAAATTCAAGTTTTGTATTACATTGCTTCTTAATTTTTATACAACTCATCAAAAATGTTTCATTATAAATGAAAGAATGGTAAGAATATGAAATAAACAAAATCAGAGTACTCCAAAAGATATCATTCAACCCTTTTTAAATGGGTACCCCTTTAACTCTTTCAACACGGGCTTGGTCTATTTGACCAACCATGTGACCTCTTTGTACTCGTTCAAAATTTTTATAATGTTACGACAGCGGAAGTCACGTGACGCTGGTTACACGTCATGAGATTCTCGAAGGATCTTGAATTGTCCTGGCAACTCTAGTCTGTTCCATGCACCCTCTTTTTTAGTATATGAGCTCAGCAAATAAAGCAGGAATGATATAGATAGATAGATTGAAGATAGAGATAATCGAGTAAAGCTGTAAGTAAAGTGTGTGAATCCCTGTGAATTATAGCGTGT